AAAAAAAAAAAGCAAATAAATATTATTTTGTTTTCTTTTAATAAAATGAAGGTGGATTGTACTTTGTGCTTATTGTGCCTTCATGATTTTGCACGTTGTTCTTCACTTGAATGATGGTGTTCTTTCTTTGTTCTTTGCATTCTTCTTTTCTTACTCCTCTATCTCTCTCTATTTGTGTCTGTCCATCTCTCTCGCTCCTCTCTCCCTCTCCCTCTTTCTCTCTCTCCCTTTCTCTATCTTTCTATACGTCTTGCGTTTTTTTATTCGTTAAGTGTCCTCAAACTTAGCAGTTGGTTTGGACCTAACTTTTTTTCTTTTTTTTTTTTGCGGGGATTGCCCGCACCGCCCGCACCGCGGGCGCTTAGCTAGTATATATATATATATACATATATATATATACATATATATATATATAGGGTTACCTGACCGAACATTCGGGGGCCCCCGGGCTGGCCCCTGTACGTTCGAGCGTTCGGGCTCCCGTTTGGGGGCCGACACCTCCAGGTTCGGCCCCCGCCAAAAAAAACTTCGAGGCCTAAAAATAAGTTTTTTTTCTGATGTTTTTTTTGTGAGTTCTCTATGATGTAACCTACACGCTTATAAATTTTGAAGCCATTCTGATAAGCCAAAAATGCTTTAAAAATCGTCAAAGATGGGGGTGTCAAAATGTGCTCGCCCACTCACTATTTTGTTTTTTTTCACTTAACTTTTTGTTTTAATTTTCTTTGAGGGCCTAAAAAAAATTATTATTTTTTTAAAATATTAAACAAGTTATTGATTACGTAAACTACATATCCGTAAATTTTCATGGCATTTGTCAATGCCAAAAAATAATAAAAAATCGGCCAAGATACGGGTGTCGAAAAGGTGCTGGCACACTCACTCATTTTAATTTTCTTTTTATTTTTTCTTATTTTTATCATATTGTCTATTTTCTGTATTTGATTTTTAATTCAAATTTGGTAAAGAATTTGGATGTAGTGCCCAGGCAAATTTGGTAAAGAATTTGGATGTAGTGCCCAGGCAAATGTTGTTTAGTTTAGTTTTCTCCATAACATATTTGTTTTTTCGGAAGTTTTTAAAAAAATATATATATATATATATATTTTTTAGGTCCGCGTTCAGCCCGAACGGCCGAACGCCTTCCGAAGGGGTCCTATACGTTCGGGCGTTCGGCCTTTCCCGAACGCCGGTTACCCTATCTATCTATCTATCTATCTATCTATCTATCTATATATATATATATATGTCACAGCCCCTCGTTTGTTGTCCTCTTCTCCCTCTCTGCCTACGGTTTACCGGGCAGTTCTATTTGACGATATATATATATACAGGGTAACCGGCGTTCGGGACGGGCCGAACGCCCAAACGTATGGGACCCCTTGGGGATGCGTTTGGCCGTTCGGGCCGAACTCGGACCCCAAAAAAAAAGTCATCAGAAAAAGCAAAAAAAAAAAAAAAAGCATTAGAAAAATCCGAAAAAAAACTATGTGATGCAAGAATACAAACAAAGCAACATTTGGACGAGCATCCTCTTTAAATTCTTATTAGATTTTGAGAAACAAAATAAAAACAATACTGGATTAAAAAAAAAAAAAAAAACCTCGTACAGGGCCCCTAGCGTACGAGTAGAAGAGTACGAATCCGTACTCGTACGAAGGTGCGTACAAGTGGCAACGTAGTATATATATGTATATACAGAGTTGCCAGGCCGAACGTACGGAGGCCCCTAAGCTGACCCCCGAAAGTTTGGGCGTTCGGGTCCCCGTACGGTGCCCGAGCTTGAAGGGGTTCGAACCCCGCAAAAAATTATTTTGGTACCTAAACATTATTTGTTTTTTCTGACTGTTTTTTTGTGAGTTCTCTGTTATGCAAACCACCTGTCTCTCAATTTTGAAGTCATTCTGTAGACCCAACCAATAATGAAAAATCGACAAAGATGTTGCTGTCAAAACTTGCTTTCCCACTTACTAATTTGTTTTTTTTTCTCTTTTTACTTTTTTTTCCTCTTTATTTCGGGGCCTGAAAAAAATTATTATTTTTTCCAACTTTATTTGTAGGTTCTCTATTATGTAAGATACATATGTATAAAATTTCATGGCATTTGACAAAGCCAAAAAAGAATGAAAAATCGCCAATGATGGTGGTGTCAAAAACTTGCTCGCCCACGCAATAATTTCATTCTCGTTTTATTTTTTCTTATTCTCATTAATATTATTTATTTTTCGTATTTGATTTTTATTTCAAATTTGGTAAGGAATTTGGATGTACTGTAGAGGCAAATATTGTTTAGTTGAGGCCTTTTTTTTTTTTTTTTTTTTTTTGGTTCTGCGTTCGACCAAACGTCCGAACGCGTCGAGAGGGGGTCCTAAACGTTCAGGCGTTCGGGTTTGGGTGTTCGGCCCATCCCGAACGACGACAACCCAATATATATGACGATATATATATATATATATATATATATATATATATATATTTCAAAAGCGGTCGAGGAAGCCTATACATATGCCTTACAACAGCACACACAAGGGAGCACACATCCTCCTACCCTTAACATGATTGTTAAAGGGCCCCGTCAAGGGGAGTGGACGGCTGATACCGGACCAAACACCTTGACCGTTTTCCAAATTCTTGAACATCTCCATTTCATTGTCACAAACACTTATCTTTATGCAGCCGACGGCACCTTGCGACATCAGTTGATTGGCATCCCGATGGGTACTAATTCTGGTCCGGAGATAGCTAATTTGACGTTGTATTGGGATGAGGCTCGATTTGTTGATGACCTCCAGCGGCATGATCTTCGCGCAGCTCAACGGTATGCGTTCACATACCGCTTGATCGATGATGTTCTCTCATGGGGACATCTGCCACCACCGTCAGAGCACTATGGCCTCGAATGGAAGGAGCCTGATGACTCTTGCACATTCTTGGGTGCATGCCTCCAAGTCCGCCCTGACGGCTCCCTACGTATGAGTGTCTTTGACAAAGCAGCTGAATGGAATTTCCCTATTATTCGTTATCCTAGTGCTACATCTAACATCCCTACACACCAGCCGGCGGGAGTGTTTACAGGCCAACTTACTAGGTTTGAGTATGTCTGCAACAACTGGTATTCGTAAACGTCAACACAGGTACCCTGCGCATGTGACCCGCCTCTCCAGCTGGTTCCGCAGCATGCTTCGATGGTCTATTCATCACCCTCTTTTTCGAGTATCTACACACTGTCCTCGGACTACGCCTGTCACAGCCCCTTCTTCATTATCGGCGCCTGTCACACCTATCACAGCGTCTTCTTCATTACCTGCGTCTGCCGCACCTGCGTCCTCATCAGTCTTAGTAACCCCTTCCATGCCGTTTGTGACCCTGGCTGCCCCTTTCCGGTTCGCAGCCTCTTCCTCATCGGCCTTGGTTGCTTCTACGATTGATTCCGTGGGAGCAACTCGACCTGCAGCTGCTGTGTCG